GCTCCTGTCTCCCCAGGGTGGCAACACAACACACACTGTCTCTTTGTTTGTCCACTAATTTTGTAACTTTTTTACCCCAAATTGTCCAATCCTCAAGTTTCTTACCTCATCTTTTTAGAAAAGGTACTCCCAGTCCTATTCCGCTTTTAGTTTTCTTTCCTTTTAGGGAAACTGCTGTACCTGGTTTGCTCACTGTACCAATCACAGCACTTTTATTCCCAGTGCTTTATAAGACACTCTGTACAATTTAATTGCTTAGTTCTGGGAAGGACTAAACTATGGCCAGGAGCCTTAGCATAACTCAGTTTGCCCGCTACAGCAGGAGGCACCACACGCCTGTTCAAAGCCACGTGCATGCGCATGGCCCAGAACACAGCTGGGCACTGTGGAGAGCAGCTCTCTGCAGGTAAGTAATTGTGGGGAAGGGGCATGGGGGGCAAATCAAGGGGCCATGGTGAAGGAGGGAGTGGGGCAGTGGCTCAAACTGGGGACACTGCCCAGCTAAGGCGGTCCATGGGACTTGGGGCCAGGAGTGGGACAGAGCCATGGGCAACCCATCCAGAGGGCATGGAGGGGAGGTTCCTTGCTGCTGCACATACCCCCGAGGGGAGGCATGGGGGGGGGCATGTGCCCCCCCAGATTTGTACGCAGGTTGGATGTGGGCTGCTTCCTGCGGCCTCGGGGCTCTCTGCCCTGCTGCCTTTGCCCCAGGGATTCCGTGCTGGCTGCAGTGGGGGCAGTGAGTTGTGTCTCCCACTGCCAGGTCAGCAGGGGACGTGTGACCCTTGGAGCAAAGGCAGCAGGGTGGAGCCCTAAGCCCACAGCGGGCAGCCTGCATCTGCCTTCGGCACACTCCACTTCAGCCATGGTGGGGGGGAGGAAGGGTGGGGAGGATGGAAGAGAGGCAGGCATGTGCTACCCTTCCCCCAGCCCAGCTGGGTCCACCCAGCCTCCACCGTAGGTAAGGGCAGCGTCAGCCTCTCCCTGGTGGGGAGGCTGGGCTGGGGGCTTAGGGAGACTATAGCCACCCCAAAATTTGCCTTAGACTCCCCATAGCTACACTTCCCAGCACTGCCGCCTGCCCGCCCTGTGCAGCTGAGCCCTCCCTACTCTGGCCTGCTCCCAGCCCATGCCCCCTCATCAGGAAGAGGCTGATGCCACTCCCGCTGGAAGTGCCGCAGCTTTGCAGGCTCAGCAGCACAGGGCAGGTGGATGGCAGCAGCAGAGCTGCGAGGGCTGGCTACCGGGGGGGAGGGGCTAAGGCAAACTTTGGGGTGGCTATAGTCTACCCCAAGACCTCAATAGCACCACCCCTGCCCACAGGGCATAGAAGCCTGCCCTTCCCTTGGCAGCAACAACACCAGGAGGGGAAGGGTCCCCTCCCCCTGCTGAAGCCCAGGACCCCAAATAAATGTTAATCCTCCACTAAACAGGCAACATATCCACACTGTATTCCTCTGGCACCAAAAAAAAATATTCATATTATGTGATAGTATTTCTCAATGTGGTGCTTCCAGTGAGGACCTAGGAATAAAAATTATTTCAATATAAAATATACTTTCTTAGACTATAACACTCCGGCTCTTTCAGAGTATCCATCAGTGGTAAGAATGGTTAATAGCAAACTTTTTTTTCAGTATTTTCCAAGTACTTTTGTTATATGGATTATGCAAGATAATGTGTAGAGAAGACAATTATTATAAAAATGTCTTATTGGCTTATACAACATATGAAACATTCAATACTTCCAGGTTTGGCAACATTAATAAAGAATACTGATATTATCAATTATCTCCGCTTTCTCCTCCCAAAAATAAACTTTCAAAATTATATTGAAGAGGAGTAATAATCAGCATTATAATCATATTTGTAGTGTGCCTACATTTATTTGAAAAGGAATTTCTGAAAAGGGCTTGACCCTGCCTACCCTTATTCATGGAAGTAGTGTTATTGACTAGTCACATAAATCAAGATATGATTTCATAGATTTCATAGACATTAGGGCTGGAAGGGACCTCGGAAGATCATCGAGTCCAGCCCCCTGCCCAAAGGGCAGGAAGTCAGCTGGGGTCACAGGATCCCAGCAAGATAAGCATCCAGTTTGCTTTTGAAGGTGTTCAATGTAGGCGCTTGAACCACCTCTGGTGGCAGGCTGTTCCAGACCTAAGGTGCAAAGTCTTAGACCCCAACTTTCTAATGAGCCCCACAAGGGAGTCCCTTCTGATCTTAGAACTCATGGCAGGATTCCATCTAGAAGCTCATGACAGAATCAAGCTTTCTCCAGAACTTTTTTCTTTGACAAATGTATAGCTTTACCAATTCAAGTGTCATCACTTAACTACTGAGAAAAGCAAAAACAAAAAGTTGCAAAGCAGAACCCTGCTCTGCATCTCCTGCTGTATTTTATGTCTGCTTTCTCTCAACTGACTTTTTAGAATGCAAGATGATTGGGGAAGGAATCCTTTTCTGGGCCTGATACAAAGCCATACGATTTCACTTGGGTGCCCTGTATTGAGCCCAATAATGCTATTTGTATAAACCAGGGGTTTTCAACCTTTTTTAAGGAGAGTACCTCTTCTGATGGGTACTCCTCCTGGTGGGTACCCACTTCTTAAGGGGGTCCTCCAGCAGTCTGTGGCTGAGCAGGGGGTGGGGAGCCCCCCGGTGGCTGAAAGCAAAGCAGTGGCAGTGAGGCAGTATACAGGCATACAGCAGCAGCGCTTCCCAAGTACCCTTGCCTCTCCACGCCACCACCACATATCCCCTGGGGCCTTCTCAAGTACCCCCAAGGGTACACGTACTCCTGGTTGACAACCCCTGGTATAAACCATTGGGTCCAAAACCTTTTTTGGACAAAGGAATCCTAGTCAGACTTCAACCTTTCTTACAGGCCACCATACATCTGTATCTTTTGATTGAAAAAAGAAGCAGCTCAGTTCAAAGCACTGACTGTGGCTTTGAGTCCCACCTGTGGTCTGTGAACCAGTGTGGGAAACATTGGGATTTCAGAAAGATGGCCAGGCTTATTTGAAGACAGAAGAGGGTGCAAACAGAAGTGACAACGTTTGCCCAATCTGGCTACAGAAAGCAGCTTATAGGCACTAGGGTTGTGAACTCTGTTTGAATCTCTTCCAGGAGGCTTCACCACAATGTAATAACATAGTTTCATAGTTGTTAGGGGTGGAAGGAATCTTACAGATCATTGGTTCCCGCCTCCCTGCACTTGGGCAGGAAAGACCGTTTGGGATCAGATGACCCCAGCAAGACGGACATCAAGACACTTTTTGAAGCTTGTCAGGGTAGATGACTGTACAGCCTCTGCGGGGAGCCTGTTCCAAACCCTCGGTGCTTGACTTGAAAATAAGTTTTTCCTTATGTCTAGTCTGAAGTGATCCTCAATCAGTTTGTGCCCATTATTTCTTCTCCTGCCCTGGGAGCCTTGGTGAACAGATGCTCCCCCAGGCCCTCCCCACCAGGTGGAAGCAGCTTCTAGTTCTCCCACTGCACCCTCCAGCACTAGCTAGGGATAGGGAAAACCAGCTACAGGCTCCCAACCCTTAATATACTTATAGGCTGCCACCAAGTCCCCTTGACATTAATGACTTTACATCAGAAAGGCAAATGCAAGTTACTATTACATTTTAAAAACCCACTAGACTACTGTATAAATCAGATTCAACATTTAATATTTATTTTCATGAATGCCCTATAATTTATTTCCTGGGTGACTCTCAGCTGAAGATTTATATCTAATTCCTGGAGATTCCAGGGCAATCCTGAAGGGTTGGAGACCCTACCAGTCATGACCAAATAAGTGCATAGGTGCAGATTGCTTCAAAAATGACCAATCTGGTGAAAATCTGAACCCTTATTGCATGAGGGGTCAGCTGAAGACTTTCAAAACAGAACATCTTCTGTAACTTCTGCCTGCGTTGCCTCCCAGCCTCCAGCTGTTTGCAGAATGGAAAGGTGGAAATGCAGAGAAGGAACTTTGGTCTGAGTTTTTTTCAGCCTCTGCTGGTAGGTAAGGTGCATGTACTGGAGCCCTCCCCACCAGGTGGGAGCAGCCTCTAGTTCTCCCACTGCACACTCCAGCACTAGCTAGGGATAGGGAAAACCAGCTACAGGCTCCCAACCAGCAGCTAGATTCCCCTCCACTTGGAACCAACAGTGAACTTCTGTTTGGGGGACAGGGACATCATTGCAACTCAAATTGATTCCTACAAAGTGTTCTCCGTTACAGCAGGGAGTGCCCAGAAGCATGTTATACTGCTTCATCTGCCTCACTGCTAAAAAACCTCCCCTAAAGTACCTTATTTCTAGTTTAAATTGGTCTAACTTCATTACCGGGTTTTGGGTTGTAGCCGTATTGGTCTAAAGACATAGGCAGGTCAGGTTCTTTGGGCAGATGTGATATCTTTTATTAGAATAACTTATTAGAAACTACTCAGGTATTCGGGCACAATCCTCCCTCTTCAGGCACAGGAAGTCTCTGCTATTCTGGGACTCCAAGGAACCTCCAAGGCATCTCAGAGCAGCAGACTTCCTGTTCCCAAAGAAGGGCGATTGCACCCAAAAGCTTTGCAAAACTTTTTTCCAACTACTCAGCTGATCTAAAAAAAGACACGGCATCTATCCAAAGGACCTTGCCTGTCTAATTTTATTACAGACTCCCGCTGGGCCTTTCTCCAGTACATTAAAGAGGCTCAGGATTCTCTCCAAAACAGGTCCTAACGCAGTCTCTTTCTAGTTACAGCACACTGGGCACTTGCTACTCTTCTGTCCACGGCCCTGCCCAAGCGCTCCTCGCAGCGCAAGACGCTTTGGCCAGGCCCTGCTTATTAACTACAAATAAACAACGTACGCCCTCCACCCTGCGACAGCCCCACCCTTTAGCCGCCCTCCCCAGGGTCCGCGCGGCCAATACGTGCTGCCGGGGGGCGGCACCAGCGCAGCGGCCAATCAGAGCCTCCCCGCAGCTGTGCGCAGGCGCAGGCGCAGGCAGCCCCTCTCCCTCCCGCGGAGCGTGGCTCTGCGCGCCGAAGGGAGGTGGGTCTGGTCCCGCCCCGCCAGCTGTCCGCTGTCCGCCTGTGGGTTCCCAATAAAGTTGCTACAAAGTGCCCTTGGGCCGCTTCCTTCCCGCGCCCCGCCTTCCTCTCGCATCCGGGCCAGTAGCTATAAGGGCCCAGCCGCGCCTGCGCACGGAGCCTCCCGCCGTTCGACCTCTGCTGTAGCCGGAGCCGGTAGGTAGAGCGCGCTGGACCCGGCCCCATCCCTCCCCATCCGCCCGCTGACTGCGCCCTCTCCCCCGTGTCCGCATAGAGGCGGGTGCGGGACGTGCCGGATCGCAGCTCCGACGAGGCCCCGGGACGTCGCTCCAGCGCTGGAAGATGTTCGCCTGCTTGAAGCTCGCCGCCTCTCCCGCCCTGGTGAGCACGGGGGCTACAGGGCGCTGCTGCCCCTGCCAGGGGGCTCCGGGACAGACCTGCCTGGCTCGTGTCTGCGGCGGGGGGGGGTCGGCTGGAGGCCACCCGCTCTTCTCAGGATCAGGACACGGTCCCTCGAGTGCAGCAGGGAGCTGCTGTAGGGACTCGGCTGTCTCTTCCCCCAGGTCCTTGCTGTAGGTCAGAGGCCGGTTAATCTCCTCTTGCGGCACACTCAGGGCGGGCGGGGCAGGCTGGGGAGTGGCAATGAAAGGAAAAGGTTCCGGGTTGGGGGAGAGCAGGGCTGGGGCCAGGGCCTGCTTCCCTCCTGCTCCTCTAGGTCAAATTCCACCTTGCTGCTGGTGCTGTGCAAGCGTGGGACTC